ACCCCCAATCTCCCTTCAGTGTAAACACCACCTTTTCAGAGGATCTCAAACAGCAGAGTGAGCAGTCCGTGACCCCGGCCGTGTGCACGAGGAGTGAAGAGCAGACGTGCAGTGAGGGCTGCCGACAAGGGAGGCCGAGGCCCAGCACCTCCCTGCACCGCTGTGCTCTGCCAGGCCTAAAAGACACCTTCGCCTCTGGGGTGAACAAGCAGCACAAGCTATCAACATTTATTCCTAAGGAACAGGAAGAAAATTCAAACGAAGTTAACAGAGTTATCCCAACACAACACTGCAACAGCCCAGAAACAGAAGGGCCAGTGAGCCTGAGATGGGAGGTTCCCACAGCGGGACAGCAACATTGGCATTGGGGCTTTTTGGCAAAAAAAGACAAAAAAGGTAACATGGGCCACCCGTTATTTCCTGCCAGTGGAAAGACACCCACAGGCCCCCAGACGCCAACGGACCCCTAGAAACGAGCCCACGCAGTGCCTCGGGTCTTCGCATGAGCAGGCACGTGGTGTCCTCAGCACCCCCCGCCCGTGACAGACACACCACACTTGGCTCCCACACCTGAGGGTCCAGGGGAATGGCAGGAAGTGCCCAGAGGACATGGCATCCTATGAGGGCACTGCAGGGCTACGCACCTCAGAGAAGCCCCCGGGCAAGTGCTCTCTCCCCAAAGGATGAGCCAGTCCTGACCACACCCAGATCGCGGTGGCCTCCAAGCCAAGCGCCAACATCTCACGTCCAAAGGGATGTGCCGGTACCTGCTGCGCATGGAGCCCAAGCCCCTCGCAGAGCTCAGGACGAATCCAGTGTCCAGGCCCGGGGCCATCACCAGCCAGGAGAGGCGTCCGGGGCCCTTCCCAGCAATGACCACGGGAAGCAACAACTCAGGCCCATCAGGGGCTTCCTCACCATGCAGGTTTTAGAAGTTGAGACAGAGGTTCAGGTCTAGTGGCACAAACATCGACAGACCCCATGGAAATGCGGGCGCGGCCCCTCCATCCCACCAGCCTGTACGGCTGCTCCTTTCTGCTGCCATCACACATGTCCCCACCAAGCCAAGCCCCTTCTCCTTTTCCACACTGGATTCCTCAAATCAAATCTCGCTGTCTTTGGCAAATGTATCATTAATTTATTTACCGCCCAGAACAAAATCACACTTCCAGTTAACATGACACCCCCGCTATGATAGAACCACCTTAATTCAGACATGACGTGGAGGAACAGAGGGAGGAGGGGTTGAGGGCTGCCCTGGAATTGGCAGCTGTTTTCTGGGGAAAGCCTCCATCCCACCCGAGCCCGACATCGTGCCACACTGTCCCCATGGTGTCTGAAAGCTCCATGAAGACAGGGTCATTTTGACCCCTTCACACCCACAACGCCAAAGAGGAGCAGGTGTTCAGGAAAAGTCTCCTGCTAGTGCTGAAGACAAGAATAATTCCTCGTGGTGCCCAGAATGTCAGGAGAAAACAAGGCACCATGTGGACGCCTTCCAGGTGAATTTTGGAATGATTCTACTGAATGCCAGTCATCCTTTTTCAGAACAAAATCTATACCAGAACACATGTCGCCAGCAGAGAGATGGTCCCTTTGACAGCTTACAAACACACCTACGTTACACTGAATTTATCTCAAGCCACCCTCTCTGTGCTAATGTAAAACGTCTCCCTTATTAACCAGTAGCCTTTCTCATCTGGTGTTTTTTTAACAAGCAAGAGGGTCCTGTAACACTCAGGCGTTGTCTAAAACGTCAAACGGAAGCCTAAAATCCTCTTCCGTGCAGCTTCACTGCAAAGTATTTTGATGTGAGCCAAATCGTGCTATTCCTACACCTCCATAGGAAACTCAATGCTTCATCAAGGAGAGCAGCATGATTTCTGCTAGGCACAGAAACTGGTGGGGTGGGGATGGGGTTGAGGGAGCATTACATAGAAAGCACACCCCGATAATCACCTGCAAGAGAGCCACACTGGCCGGCCAGCCCCGGTGGGCTCAGTCTCTGCAGTCACAGGCGTGAGGCCTGGAGGGCAGACACCTGGCACTGCTGACCACCCCAAGGTCATGGCCTCTGCCCCTTCTCTGCCGCCCATCAGTTCCAAATTTCTGGCAACACCACCTGCTGCTCCCACTGCCTGATCAACTCTTCACGAAAAGCTAATGTTGCCAGGATAGCTTATGAGTATGTATGCCAGGAAAGTAGCTCCGATTGATGCTGAAACACCATTCTCGCAGCCCTGGCAGCTCCCCTACCCCCGATGTGTACATGTTTGCAGCTCTGACTTCGCTCAGTGTCCACATAGGCTCTGTCCCCTGGACAGCCCAATGCAGACTCAATGTTGAGTCAGAAATACACAAAGAGGCTGACGGTTATGAACTGCCTGCCTGTTCCCCAAAACACAGGTTGAAATGCTCACCCTCAATGCGATGCTGTCAGGAGGTCTTTGGGAGGTGATGAGTTCCCAAGGCTGGAGCCCCGTGAATGGAGTTTGTGCCTCAGAAAGGAGCCCAGCAAATCCGTCACCCTCCCACTGTGTCAGGGCCAGAGAGAAGGTGTGTGCGAACCAGGAAGAGACCCACACCAGATCCCACCCGTGCGGCACCCTGATCCCGCCTTCCAGCCTCTAGAACTACGAGAAACAAATTTCTGTTGTTCATAAGCCACTCAGTCAATGGTGTTTTGTTACAGCAGCCTGAGCTGCCTGAGATGACAATGCTCACCGTCCTACAGAGACGGCTACTCCCCTCTCCCAGAAAGAGGGGTTTAATTAAAATCTCTGTCTCTCCTCGCCGCCACCACAGATCTCATTCCCCCACCCTGTAAGCCAACAGTTGCTAGGATTAAAGGAAAAGGAGGATCGTTTTAGACCAGCCCCTCCATGTCGGTCTGAAGCCTTTGACTTTGCCCACTTCCACGGTGGTCGTGTCACCAGATTCCCCATGCCAGCTCTGTGTCTGCACCGGGTCCCAGGCTCTGCACAGACTTCTCCAGTTGCCCATCCAGCACACCCATTTCCCTTTCTCCTTTGCAGATTGTCCTTCAATCTGCAATCTTCTGATTGCCTCTCTGCAACCCAAGGCCTTCCAATCCAGCTATTCAGGGTGAGTTCAGCCGTGCACTGGAGTCCTTGGCTCAGGTAACCCAGGCCCAAGCCATTGGCACCAACGATCTACTGGCTGTGGGGTCTTCACAGCCACCAGCTGCCCCAGCCACACCAGGGCCTGGGAGGGGAGGCAGAGGAAGCTGTGAAGCTGTCAACAGCCGTGCGGGGAGAGGAGCCTCTGGGATGAGGATGCCACGGAAGGAAATTCAGAGAAAGAGCCCCAGGGCTGGACGGGTCATGTCCATAGTCTGCACTGCTGAGTTTTCCAGGTTTGTGAACTCAATCACTGACCCTGCGTGGCGTTTCCTGAGTGCTGACCCCACAGTGGCATTGGATATGGCAATAAAACAAGATCCCCCCCAACCTTCCACCCCTGCAACATACACGGGGCCTCTCTCCTGGCGGGAAGTCAGGCCTGGGTGCTCAGCTGGCACAGCCAGCCTGGGAAGGGGGCCGATTCAGAGGGCACACCTGAGCTCATTAGGGACAGACACTGCCTCCTGCTTATCTCCAACACTTTCTCTGCATGTCTAGTTACAAACGGATGACACAGTCTCGGAAGCACATTTCCCTGACCTCCCTCTGCTCCTCTCCTTGGTGCCATTGATGGGGAGGGGTCAGTATGGCCGCAAGGCCGCACACCCACAGCCACCCTGCCGCTGAGAGGCGGGCCTTTGACGGTTACTTCTGCCAAAGAACCCTACTCCATCTTGGAGCACACTATGGCGGGTGGAAAGCTCCACCCGGAGAAACAGCGATGCTTCTCCCCAGGGCCAATGGAGGGCACCCCCCACCCTGCATTCAGCAGCTTACTTACCTTCTGGAAAACATCTGAATTAATAGGGAACACTAAAACGAAAAGGTCACGCAAGAAGTTTAGAAGGCCGTGTGAAGTCTCAGCAAATCCAAAGGTTTCTGAACCAAGACTGCTGGGGTCAACGAGCTTACAAAGTTTCCATAGGGGCCTTCAACAAGCAACGCTCAGCAGAGAGCGCCACGCTCTGCGCAGAACCTCAGACACCACAAAGCCACATCAGAGCCAACAGCAACTGAAATACAGCGCTCTCCTAAGATATGTGTGTTATCTGTAGAAAGTTACTAGACGCTAAGATGGGGGAAGAAAAGGATAAGGTTAGAAACAAATTTAAAGTAATTTCTGCATACAAAAAAAAAAATCTATATCCACTGGCTTTCTTTCTGGGAGTAGCAACTTTTACATGAGAGGCACCATCCCAGTTGGAAGGAGTCTGGGTTTTTCGTGGGCAGAGACAAGGGCTCTCCAGGAAATGTGAACCCTTTCTTGCTCGCTGAACTGCGTGCCCTGAGGCCATCCTGACCTGCCTGAGCACCTCTCCCTGCTCTGCCTCCAGCCAGGTCTTTCCAGCACTCACCCCGCTGCTCCCAAAGCCTACACTCGCCCAGGATCTACTCTTCTGCTGCTGTCAATCTTCTGCTGCCAAACTTTCACTTTAGGGCAAATAAGTTGCAAACTAAAAAGTTGTAAGACCCCTTGGCTTTTTAAAAATCCAAATGTCCATCAGTGACAGACTGGATTAAGAAAATGTGGCACATATACACCATGGAATACTATGTAGCCATAAAAAAGGATGAATTTGTGTCCTTTGCAGGGACATGGATGCAGCTGGAAACCATCATTCTCAGCAAACTATCGCAAGAACAGAAAACCAAACGCCGCATGTTCTCACTCATAGATGGGAACTGAACAATGAGATCACTTGGACTCGGGAAGGGGAACATCACACACCGGGGCCCATCATGGGGAGGGGGAAGGGGGGAGGGGGAAGGGATTGCATTAGGAGTTATACCTGATGTAAATAATGAGTTGATGGGTGCTGATGAGTTGATGGGTGCAGCACACCAACATGGCACAAGTATACATATGTAACACACCTGCACGTTATGTACATGTACCCTAGAACTTAAGTATAAAAAAAAAAAAATTTGTCTTCTCAGAAAACAAAGAACATTAATTCTACTTCCATGGTTTAATATGTTGCCCCCATCTGCATGCTCATGGATATGTGCTTTTATATATATTTTAATCAATACTTATAATACTGTTGGCTACATTCAATTTAATTACATTTGAGGTAAGAAGTTTTAAATTCAGTGAATTCAGGCACTCAGAATTTAAGCCCTCTGACATCTATTAACCAAATGGAAATATGACAGGTGGATATTACAAAAATCAAGAGAAGTGTTTAATATAAATCCCGGACTTTTAGATATTTCCAGAAATGTAATGTATATATTAGTACACAAACTTGAGCATTTTCACAAATCTTTGAACTCAAATTCCATTCTTAACTTTTACAGGTAAATCAATATCCATATGTGATTTTAAGCAGCTCAAGCATCAGCTCTTAAAAACCACCAGAAATGCTGGGGGCAAATTCCACCGAGCAGCAAATAACGGAACTGCATCCAACAACCCAGGTACCTCCCCTGAGGCATCTGGAACATGAGGATTAGGAGCAGCCTTTGGTTTCTGAGGTGCCCGAGAATGGGGACTCCCGACTCCCCAAGTCTAAGAAGGCCTCAGTGATAAGGAAAACTAGTATTAAAAAAAAAAAAAATCATTCCTGCCGGCTCCCTGCCATAGGCTCCTCCCTGCCACGGGCTTAAAGATCTCACTTCCTCTCTGCCCCCCAAAGCCTGACTCCTGGTCCCAGCCCTGCTGCTCACTGGGGTGAGGCCATGGGCATCACTGCACCTGTAAGGGGAGAAGCTGGTCAGGATACAGGATCCTGGCTATCCTGGCAGTGCTCAAGCTGATACTGTAACTTTGTAGTGAGTTACTTAATGCAAAGGTTTAACTTCTGAATAATTTAGATATGTGTATTCTAACAGGGAAATCCTGAACGTAGAACACAGACCACACCCTCACACAGATGCTATCTGGCTAGCACTCTTTCTTGTTTGCCTTTTCAATAGACTTTTTAAAAGCAGTTTTCAGTTCACAGCAAAATCAGGAGGAAAGTACAGAGTCCTCACATATCTATCTCCTTCCCCAGCACAGGCAGAGCCTCCATCATTCTCCTGCCCCCACCGGAGCAGCACTTCTGTGTGACCGACAGACCCACATCAACACGGCACCACCACCCAGAGTCCACAGCTCACACGAGGGCTCGGCCTGCTGCTGCTCACTCTGTGGGTTTCACAGACATGGAACGGCATGGATCCCCCATGAAAGCCCCATCCGGAGTTGCTTCCCCACCCTACACATCCCCCTATGCTCCTCCCATTCATCCATCCCTTCCCCAGCCCCTGGCAGCCAGTGACCCTTTTACTGTCTCCACAGCCTTGCCTTTTCCAGACTGTCCTGCAGCTGGACTCACACAGCAGGCAGCCTTTCCAGATTGGAGACTCACTTAGCAACATGCGTTTAAGATCCGTGTCTTTTCATGGCTTAGAGGTCCAGTTCTGTTTTTGTACTGAATAATATCCCAGTTTCTGACCTAACACAGTTTATCCGTTCACCTACTGAAGTGCATCTTGGTTGCTTTCTAGTTTTGGCAATTATAAATAAAGCTATAAAGCTGCTGTCAACATCTGTGTGCACATTTCCTCATGGAATTAAACTTTCAGCTCCTCTGAGTGAACGTCCAGGACTGTGTTTTGCTTCTGTGGTCGGAGTGTTTAGTTCCACGGAAAACTGCCACACTGCCTCCCACAGCAGCTGCCCCACTTCCCCCAGCGATGAGTGAGGGTCCTGATGCCCACACATCCACCAGCACGCGGTGGTGTCGGAGTTCCAGTATTGACCAGGCTGCTGGGTGTACAGTGGCGCCTCGCTCTATGACATAAGATGTGGGCCATCTTTCCACGTATAGATTTGCCATCTGTATATCTTCTTTGTTGGGGTATCTGTCCAGGTCTCTTTTCCATTTTTAATCAGGTTGTTCATTTTCTTGTTGAGTTTTGAGAGTTCCTTGCATGGTTTGGATAACAGCCTTTATCAGATGAGTCTTCTACAGATACGTTCTCGTCTGTGGCCTGCCCTCTCATGCTCCTGAGACACTGTTTTATTTTAAAAAACACTTTAGACAGAAGATGGACCTCCCAGCCCACCGCGGTTCTCATTTTGGCCGTGGTCACCACCCTCCCAGCCCTGGTTTCCACCTTTCCACAATCTGCTCGTCCTGTGGGGGTTTCTCCATACGAAGTCCCTAACATATCTCCAATGATGGCAACATAAAAGCAGGCAGTTTGCAGGTAGGAAGGAGCTGATGGAGGCCGGAGCAGAGTGTGAAGGCCAGCGGCTTCATCCCTCGGGGACAAGCAGGCCTCTCAGATATCCCTCTGGGTCACCTCCCAAATGAAGTACCTGCCTTGGCCATGGGCAGGAAGCAGGACTTGGCCCAGATCCCAATATATTTGACCTGGCACGACATTTACAGGTGAGCGGCCGTAACCGGAAACTCTACTCTGGGAAGAACACATTTTCATTATCAAGGCTTTAAATTAAGAAACCAAAGAGCAATGCCTGGAGTGAGGGTGCAGGGACTCTGCATGACCCACATGCTCGTTTCCACCTGGCACAAAGGACCCTGGAGTGAGGGTGCGGTGCCTGCTCTCAGTCACCAGCACACTCGTCGTTTCTACATAAAGGACCCTGTGAGTCTGTCCCAGGACTTTTTAGCCTAGACTTAAAAATTCACAGCCCAGGAAACCCTAACCATTTTAGGAACCTGAGGGGTGGGCCAAGGGGATCTCAGAGAGTTGGGTGCTGGCCGTGGGGTCAGGAAAGTGTGGCTGGGGCTTCCTGCAAGCACTCCCGGGATGCCGTGCGCTGGCCCGAGGCTCGTTCCACCTCCTGTCCTCGGTTCTCATGCCCAGCAGTGACAGGAGCCCTCCTCCTTCCGGAGCAGTCCCTGGTTCCAGGCCTCTGGTGGGGCAGCTTCGACGTAGGGAGGGCTTGGACTGGAGACAGCCTGGAGCTCTAGGCAATCCTGGCACCACCTGCTTCCCAAAGTGGCTGCAGAAAAACTCCTGCTTCCAAAACCTGGCACAGGCTGTGTGAGGCCTGGAATGTGGGAGGCACACTTCGCAGGGTCCCTGCTCAGATGCAAAAGCAAGGCTAAGAGCAGGAAAATTATTCAATTACCCTCTTGCTCATCAAATAAAGTCATAGTCACTTAGACCTCTGTGTGACTAGAAGTATACACATTATAGAAGTGTATATAAATGTAAATACATACATGCTTATTTTCCTTTTACATACCTTACATATGTATGTATACATGCGTATGTATAAAACATTGATGATAAACCCTAGTTAAGATTTCAGATCTCAGTCACAAAGATTTCAGAAGCAAATTACTATCCTTAAATTCTAAACTAAGACGTAACATTTTACATTCTTGCGAACAAAACGTTCTCTATTAGCATTTTATTTTAAAAACTAAGATTTCTATTTTAAATAATCACTTTCACTGAGAGATTCTATAACTTGCTACACCTTGATTTCCAACAATAGCTCCTTAGTTTAAGGAAAACTGCTCTACGGGCCTTTTGCTACTTTAAAGCGTAATGATGTCTATCTCTCTATACCCAAGAATAGAAAGATGCCCGTGCAGAGGTTTCTGAAGCAATTCAGATGAGATGGTCTAGACACACAGATTAAGACCATCACATTTTCAAGAAAAAAAGAGAAAGAATCACATTTTCAAGGGCAGAAGATCAAGACCAAATCCAGGACGTTCTGAAGGGATCACCTTATATTTAAATTATTTCACGTATTTGTAACTTGGGTGGAACAGGACATCCTTTAAGATAACCAAATAATGCATCACAGCCCTTAAAACTCACAGCATAATATCTCTTTTGTTTTAAATACACT